ATGGGTATGATATATAGCTATATACCTCAATATATAATCTTCAGATCTATTATTCACTTGATTAAGTTTTTATCAGAGGTGGTATAAATAAAGGAAATGTTTAATGAAATGAATATTGATGTTTTTATTATTTATTTATTAAAGGAGTTATTTATTTGTTTGTTTATTTATACAAGCACTGGGTACAGTCAGAAGTGCAGGAGGGTGAGAGAATTCACCAGAGCCAGAGCGGGGAGCAGAGCAGGCAGAAGGACCGAAGTACACTGCTGAGGGGAGCAGTGGGTGGCAGGAGAGGTCTGTGTGCCATGCGGGTCCCTCCTCCAGTGGCCGGGGAGCAGCCGGGATCGAACTGGCGCTGCAGAGGCTGCGGGCAGCTTCGCAACCCAGTGCGCTCAACCGCTGCACCACCGGGGAGGCCCCTTCATAAACTTTTAAAACAAAACCTCTCTATCCTAATTGTTGTACACCAAAGTAATTTGTGTACTGTGGTTTTCAGTAGTTTTTTGCCACATCGCTTCTAATTAAACCTTATATATCAGGTGTCTTTTGATGTTAATCTGATTCTGTTTCAAATCACCAGCAGCTGTATGACTAAAAACATTTTTAAAATGAATAAAATTTTCATTGTCTTAAATGTGAGGAAATTGAGCTTCAATAGTAAGATTATGATGGGAGGTAGTAGTAATACTAGAATTATGTGCCACAGATATGAAGCCCCCAGATCATTCTTAGTATTCTAAATTAAAAGGTATCTTGCACTAATCAAATTATTTTGTAGTATTTTCCATGAGTGTTGATTAAGCACATTCTCTTTAATGATACCATTTAAAAATGATCTTTCGTATTGAGGCTTGTAGCCATGAAGCTCAGATTTTCTGTATTAGAACACTATTTGACATATATTCAATAAACTATTCTTTAATCAGTGTAAAAAATAAGTGTGCTAAGGGCCTCCCTGGTGGCTCCAGTGGTTGAGCACAGTGCTATGAATCTGTCCGCAGCCTCTTTAGTGCCGGTTCAATCCCCGTTGGCCTTGGAGCAACCCAGATGGCGAGCAGACCTCTCCTGTCTCACCCGCTGCTCCCCTCACCCAGTGTATTTCGGTTGTCTGCCTGTTCTGTTTCCTGCTCTGCCTCTGGTGAATCCTCTCACCCTCCAGTGCATCTGGCCTGTACCCCGGCTCTTGTATAAATAAAAATAAATCTTAAAAAAAAAGTGTGTCAAATCTTTTAAAGTTAAATCTTTTGGGAAAGGTGACAGCAAGAATAGAATATACAAGCCTGAAATTAATCATTTGGATTGTTCTGTATACGTAGAACTCTTAATAGACCCACTAATATTATTTGATTTGGAACAAGGGAAATGGTATAGTGTTTTTCTGTATAATTTTAGATAAGAAGTTTGATTTCTTATCAAATTTGAGTTGTTCTGTAGAATTTCAGTAAGGAGGAAATTCTTCTTGACTTGGTATTAAAGTTGTTTCTTTGGGTACCCAGATAGATTAGATAACTTCTAGCATTTATTTTAAACACCAATTTGCAGTAGAAAAAAGTCACTTAAGGCCAAGATCAAGTTCCCTTAAAGGAATAAACTACTATTTCTTTCATATAGGTATTTTACCCAGGCCCTAATTCAGTAATTTTCCCAGGAGTAGGAAGTAGGAAAGAAAGTTTTTGTTATACCACTTATTGAGTTGTTTTGCAAGTTAAGTTCGCTTTCCTGTGTTTCATTTTCCTCCTTCTGTAAAATGTGTATTGTGGTGATGAGTTTGTTTGTAAACTTGTTTTGAAGTCTTTGGAAGAAAACTTTATCTTTGATCTATCTGGCATATATTTTATGAATATATGTGAGCATTTTTTATCAATATATATATATATATATATATATATATACACACACACACACATTAGGCATTATTTTTGACCCTGTGGAAAGTATAAAGGTAGTTAACAAAAAAAAAAAAAAATCAACCCATAGCCTAGCCCCAGCAAACATGTACAATTTATTACTACTACATTCCCACAAGATTGGCTAGGTTAGAGCAACTAGCACTCTCATACATTGTTGGTGGAAGTTTAAAATGACATTACCACTTTGGAAAACTGTTTAACCATGTTAACTAAAGCTAATCTTACATATATCATATGGTACAGCAATTCTACTCCTGAACTTACTTTTCATGAATATTATGGTCTTGGTGTTTATCTGTTGTTACTGCTTATAGTTATGATTATGTTCATGTGTATGTAGTGTTCTGTTATATGAATAGTATAATTCTGTGTCTGTTCTGGTACTGGACATTTGGATTGTTTCTAGGTATTTTCTATAATAAGCAGTGCTGATAGAACATTTACATTAAATGTTGATAATATTGCTTAGAAAGAGAAAGTATTGGGTTTGGAGGAAGTCAGGCTTATTTGCATATGATAAACTAAGGCATATTTCTTCTCATTCCTATAGGAAATTATTCTCATATAGGGTAACAGAGCTCATTATAGACATTGTAGTCTTTTATCTGCAGATCTATTAGTTATTCTCTGTATTTGAAATACTGTAAACTAGTACAACGTTAGACCATTGGGACAAAGGTTGGTGATACTGTGTAACCCCATTAAAGTCTGTTTTTAAGAGAGACCAGTAAAAGAACATTTGAGACATTTCTTAACACAGCCTAGAAACTGTCACCGAATCCTTAAATTGAAGCATGACATTGTGCAGTGATGCGCAGAAGGAGGAAGAGATTACAGAACAAATCAAGAATGTCCTATGGGAAGTTGACAGAGTCTTTTACAAAAATATAATATCAAACTGCAGTGAGATGGAACTGAAAACTTACAAAGCACAGGCACATTTTCTGAGACATAGAATTTGCCACAAATGGTACATCTGGCTTCTTGAGAATTTCATTCATACATACTATTTATGAGTTCATCAGAGTATTGAGTGACAGAACAAGGTCAGCAGCAGCAAATACTTAGAATACATACTATGTATGAGCTTTGAAATCTCACAACATAGCTTTATTGAGTTGGATGTGTGTGCAAAATGGACTATAGCAGGACTCCTAAGCAACTGTTAAATAGCAGGGTGAGGTGTGGAAAGCACAAGCTGAGAAGGCAGAATAAATACGTCAAGATTCACTACAATTAACCTACTAGTTCTAGTGGGGTAAATCCAGTGGCTGAGGAGTAGCATGGTATGCAGCTATAAGGGATGGGTTTGCCAAGCAAAAGCTTGAGACTGACTGTTTATCTAAAAAGCAAGACTACAAACAATGATGGACTACTTAAATAGCAGGCACAGCTGCTAACAAAAGGGCAAGTTTAATGTGTATTTTGTGTGGAAGTGATTGTTGGTCACATTTTATTGTCTTGGGTCCTAAACATAAATTCAGTTCATAAAATCAAATATATATATACATTTATACATAAATAAAAGTTCTGATCTACTTGCCACTGCTTTATCAAAAGATAACAAAGATTAAGTCTTTAAAAAAATATCAATTGTATTGAAATACTAGGAAAAGAGCACTCTAACATTTTTAGTTCTTATGGATTATCACATTTTTAGTTTATTGGCAGAATGATTAAAAGGCTAGTAATGTGCTAGAACCAATAATACAATAATAGCTTTAAAATTGGAAATGCCTTATCATCTATTTTTTCTACTTCCCTTCCTGGATTTCTTTCACAAAATTGCTTATTTGTCTTTGTCTTCTTGTAGGGCCTTCCGCAGTAGTGGTTATATACTTTCTAATGGGTGTTCAGTAAATAATTGTTTAACTGGACGGGACTCCAGGGATTCAGAGACAGTGTATGGTAACCTGATACAGAGACATACAGTTTTTGTGTTTGTGTTTTTTTACCAGCTTCTCTCATAATTAGCAATTTTATGTAGTCATCTAATTGCAACAATCAGGACATGCTGCATGAGACCTGCAATATGTTGAATTTTTTTTTTTTTTAACCTTTTGCTTTGAGTCTGTAACAATCCTGGCTTTTCATCCATTTTCCTTTCTGTAGGACTAATTGAGTTATATGTATATGTGTTACTTTTCCTGATACCAGGAAGATAAATTCCTTGATGAGTTAAATGAATAAAAAGCATGAAGCTACATAAAGGGTAATAATAGATAAGGCATATGGGTGAACAAAAGAATACAACATGGGATCTGAAGGGCTTACAATTATCAGCACAACTGTATATAGAAAAGTTAGGAAACAGAGGCAGGGACAGTTCAAGGAAGAACTGAGGGATTAGACATAAAATAATAGAGTCCTCCCAACACCTAGAAAGACAAGTACTTGTGCAGAGAAGCCTCATAATGTTGCTGTTTAAAGAAAACATTTCAAATTACATGAAGCAAAATATGTCACTTTGTGTGTATAGTTACTTTATATATTCATTGAAATTCTTAATTCACATTTGGAGACTTGTGTAATTTGAGTGCTCTTGTGATTTTTTACATCCTCAAAACAAATATTTTTAATACATAAATTACTTTGTTTACAAGAAGTGTTCATTTTAAACCCTGCCATTTGTAATTTGGTGAATGAAATACTGGATTTTCCAATATGGAAAATCATTTTGCTTATAAAAATACATTATAAATGTGAAAATATACATTTTGAATTCCTGTCCTTCATGTAGAACAGTTGATTATTGGTTTAAGACAGTAGTGAATAAATAGTTGACTTTCCACTATATTATTAAGTTTATTAGCTAAAAATAGTCTGTATTGCCCTCTATTGGTGGTTAAAAAGTAATTTTGACAAAATGATTGCTGCTGTACATATCATTTATATGTATTTAATAATTGTATCAACCAGTTTATTAAAAAAAGTGAGAAAACAGATAAAAACTTTAAAAACTAATAGTTGTGGCAATGAATTTACAAAAAAGGAGTAGAAATTTGGGACTTCTTATTTGATAATTTATTAAGGTAGTATTGAAATACTTTTGCCTATGATTAATTTCAGTTTTTATTTTTCTTTTGTCAGAGCTCCACATCAAATAAGGCGTCCCAATCGAGAAGTAAGACCTCTGAGGAAAGAAATGCCAGGAGTAGGAGCCCGGGGACCTGTAGGCCGAGCACATCCTATATCAAAGAGCGAAAAACCCTCTACAAGTAGGGAGAAGGATTATAGAGCAAGAGGGAGAGATGACAAGGCAAGACTATATCTCTATAACTCTCTCACTTGAAGCCGGTGACTTTTGGTTCATATAACAGTTTTCGTTTTTTTTGTTTTTTTTTTTTTGACTTTCCAGGGTACTCTGGTTTTGACATGGAAGAAATTTAAAAATGTCTGATTTAAAACCTAAGCAATCTTTGCATTCTGTGGACGATTCTGTAATGCCCATAATCTCAGAGATATTACAAACATCTTTAGTAAAACAAATCTTTTGTAGAAATTTTCAAAATAATGTTTTCAAAGTTAAAACAATATTTAAACAAATATTCTTTGTTAAAATAATATATGAAAACTTAACTGTAGAGGAAAAAAATTTAAGTAGAGATACATATTTACAAAATCAGATGATGACTATGATTCATTATTAAAAATTTTTAAAAATCTTTGATTTAGCCATAAATTTTAGAGTAGAACAAGATTTTTTTTCCCCCTTAATGAGAAAATTTCCCTTTGTTAGGGTTCATGGGAAATGATTGTTGAATAAACATAGGACTGGGTGGGAATTCTGTTTTGTCCAAAAATGAACTTTAGAAAAATGGGCTGAAGAAAATCTTACAGAGTAAGAAGTGAAACCAGAATGACATGATGTATTTCTCAGCCTTAGTTTTAATAAAAAGACAAAAATAAATTTTTAGTGATAATATTTCCCAATTCCATTGTGATGGTATAAATAGATGATAATGTAATTGAATTGCCACAACAAAATTTCTATTTTCCTAGTTGAGGGATTCAGGATATGTCATTATTCATGCCACGATATTTATTTCTCTCTCTCTCTCTCTCTCTCTCTCTCTCTCTCAACAATACTTGCCTCCCCCCACCCCCTCTGGTGTAGTCCCTGTAGAATTTTCTTCACCAATGTACCCATGCACCATTCACAGTCCCCTGTTCTCCCTCTCTCCTTCCCTCCCTCTCTCTGATCCCTCTTCCTCCTCTGCAAGATGTCTCTGATTTATAATTTTCTGTTTGTTTTTGTTTTGTATTGTTACTTTTTCCCCCTGATGCCTTATTTGGTTCCCTTATATTCCTCCTACAAGTGAAATCATCCAATATTTTTCTTTTTCCTTCTGACTTATTTCAGTGAGCATAATTCCTTCTACCTCTTGGTGCTGTGAATAGCATGAGTTTATCTTTTTTGATTGCTGAATAATATTCCATTATGTATACATACCACATCTTTTTGATCCAGTCATCTATTTTTGGGCATTTGGGTTATTCCCAGGTTTTACCTATTATAAATAGTGCTGCAGTAAACATAAGGGTACCGGTATTTTTTTGAATCAGTGTTTTTGTGTCGTTTGTGTAGATCCCTGGGAGTGGAATTGCTGGGTCAAATGGTAACTCCATTTTTAGTAGACTGAGGAACCTCTAGACAGCTTTCCATAGTGGTTGGACCAGTTTGCATCCCATCAGCAATGTAGGAGAGTTCCTTTTTCACCACATCCTCGCCAACATTTGTTGTTGCTAGTTTTGTTTTTTTTTTTTAATTTATTATTTTTTATTTATTTATACAAGCACTGGGTACAGTCAGAAGCACGGGAGGGTGAGAGAATTCACCAGAACCGGAGCAGGGAGCAGAGCAGGCAGAAGGACCGAAGTACACTGCTGAGGGGAGCAGCGGGCGGCAGTAGAGGTCTGCGCGCCATGCGGGACCCTCCTCCGTTGGCCGGGGAGCAGCCAGGGATTGAACCGGCGCTGCAGAGGCTGTGGGCAGCTTCGCAACACAGCGCTCAACCGCTGCGCCACCAGGGAGGCCCTGCTAGTTTTTTTGATATGTACCGTTCCTACTGGTATAAGGTGGTATCTCAGTGTGGTTTTGATTTGCATTTCCCTGATTATAAGGGATGTTGAACATTTTCATATGCCTGTTGGACATTTGTGTTTCCTCTTTGGAGAAGTGTCTTTTAAGTTCTTCTGCCCAGTTCTTGACTGGATTGTTTACTTTGCTTTTGTTAAGTCGCATGCCGTGATATTTATAATGAAAATATAATGATTAGTAATAGCAGGTGGTTGTTCTTCAAAATTGTATACTATTCTTGAATATTTGTATTATATATAATTTCAGTCAGTAGATTCTGATTGAAGGACCCTTAAACCAACCAACTTCCTAGGCCTTGTGACTGTTTAGACCATGAATAGCGTAAAACTAGTGTTTTCTGAGTATTTCTATGTGTGATATAGATTCAAACACCTACTTCTTTACTTCATTATAACAATGAAAATGAAATAGGATTTTTTGGTTTGTAATTTGGAAGAGCTATTATGCCATAAAACATTAATTAGGCCCACCTCAAATCCTCTTCAGGATTAGCGAGGGGTACTAATGAATAAGTTTTGCTGTTGGTGAAATTAAACCGTTACCCCCTCCAAAGCTACATAAATAAACTCTTAAAAACCTATATCTTATGTATCATCTTTTTTTCTTCCTCTGTTTTTCATTTTCATGCAGCTAATCCTGGCGTTTTAGAGAATAAAGTAGGAACTGAAGTCCAATCCTTGCTTTTCTAGTACTAGATAAACTTTTAGAGCCAAGTGAAGTAATTTTAGTCTTTACCTTAATCTCATATAATACAAAAGAAGAACCTAGGTTATGGTTTATTGAGTGCTTCCTTACTAGGTACCGTTTAGAGTGATTGGACAGTAATTCATGAGGTAGAGACAGTAATTCTCTGAGGTAGAGAGCACTAACAAAGGAACTTACCTAGGGTAATTGGCGATTAAGAATAGAAGTTTGTGAAGTCACATTTCTTTTTGCTGCTTTTTGTTTTTCTTTTTTAAGGATTTTTCTTATTATGTAGTATCCCTAGCAAACTATCTTAAAAATCTAGGTTGCATTTGAGTAATATCCTGGAACAATTGAATAAATATTGATTTTTAAATATGAATCTTAAGGAAAGAGCAGAACAATCAGGCAGCAGTTGTTGAATGTCAAATTTTTCTGCAGATTGTAAATGTCCTTAAAATAATTTTCTAAATTTTTAGCTATTCCTACATTGACATGTGAGTACTCAGAATATCACTGGAAAATAAATTATATATATATATATACACATATATATATATATATATATATAAAACTACAGTTGTTTTAAGATAAAGGATGTTTACTGAGATACTCTGGAAATAAAATTTGTAAATAACAATTAGCAAAGAACAAGCTGATGGAAATTTTATTAGAATTTGAAAGGTTTACCTGTTATGATTATTGTAAGCACTCAGATATTCATTTAATATTAGAGTCCCTAAAGCTCACTGAAGGCTGTGGTAGGGGTTTGAGGCACCTTATGTGAAACTGACAGATAACATTGTCATTGACAGCTAATTTGAAAATGAGTATAAAAGGGTTCTCATACATTGTAGGTTCCCAGTATTGTTGGCTTTTTAAAGTCAATTTTGTCTACTATGACCTGCTTTAAAACAAATTTAAAAAAGATGTAGAGTAGACTAGAAATTTTAATGTATTGCCTATGGTAAAAACAGTATTATTTTGAGAAAAAAAATTTAGTTAGATGAACATATAAAAATTTAGTTATATAACTATATTTACTTTTAAATAATTAGCTCATGATCTACTTTGTGTCATGGTGCTAAGTTTGAAAGCTGATGTTGTACTCCAACCACTTTATAAATGTAAAAAAGCCGAGACAAAAAAAATTATGTTTCTTACCCAAGATTCCCATTATCTTTGGATTTTTCATTTAGTGTTGTAAATCGTATGGTGGAGCGACTAATAATAATAGCAGTAGTAACAGATGTTACTTTTTCTTGTGCACATTTCAAGCCCCCTTTGAAGGTTTTTACCCATATAACAGGTTTTTAAACACATTCCTGTGAAATCAACATTATTTTCCCAATTCGACTTTAATCATTATGCTGCATAACCTCTAATTTGAAAATGCTTACTATCTTCTTTTAATGTATCACAAATACCTCTTTCTTTGTAGAGTACCAGTTCATTTTCTAAGAGTGATGAAATATGTTACTCTTTTTTTTTAAACTGCTGGAAGCCTTCAGTTTAGGTTTAAACTTAAACATACTATTTTTCAGTGTGTAGCAAATGCTTTGTAGAGTAGTAATCTGTGCAGGTCTTATAGGTCTTTTTTTTCTCATCAGGTCCACCTAGTCTTATGAGGCCAGTTTGTTACTCTATCTGATTTATGCATGGGGTAATTTATTAAGTATATACTTTGTGTCAGTCATACTTACAGGTACCAGGAATACAGACTTTAATGAGGTGACTTATGGCCTCAAGTTGATTATTTACTTATTGATGAGAGTCACATGAATAAAGTAACCTTTTCTGCTATATTTTTCAGTCTTATTTGAATGTACCTAAGAAATTGGATGTATTACTATTTTACTACTTAAACCTAGACTCAGTACAGAATGTACATAGAAATAACAAATGCATTTTTATTTAAAAATAGTCAAAAATAAAATAATAAGTAGAAGTGTTTTTGTATTAAAACCGAAAATAAATTCATAAAACTGATTTTCAAGTGCCTTTAAGATTATGGCTTTATAGTTAATTAACTTAGTGAAATGAACAGTGTTTTCATTATTATCTCATGATTAAAACTGTATGTGATTTTAATAGAATTCAGATTAAAATATGATAAGTTACATTTGAGTACTTTCTCATGACTAAGTCTAAGGATGTTTGATATGTAGAAGTTTTATAAGCTGGATAGTGATATTCTTTTTGTTCTTTTTTTTTTATTGAAAGATTTTTATTTTTATTTATTTTATTTATTTAAACAAGCACTGGGTACAGTCAGAAGCGTGGGAGGGTGAGAGAATTCACCAGAGCGGGGAGCAGAGCAGGCAGAAGGACCGAAGTACACTGCTGAGGGGAGCAGAGGGCGGCAGGAGAGGTCTGCGCGCCATGTGGGACCCTCCTCCGGTGGCCGGGGAGCAGCCAGGGATTGAACCAGCGCTGCAGAGGCTGCGGGCAGCTTCGTAACCCAGCGCTCAACCGCTGCGCCACCAGGGAGGCCCTGTAATATTCTTTTGAGGGCCTTCGACTAGTGATTAATCAAATGATCAGTGACTTAAAAATTTTTTTATTTAAGAAAATTAGAATAATAATAAAAATAAATAGTAAGGGTACTTGCCTTATAAGACTTTTAAGGTGATTGAGTGCATTAAGATGGTTATGTGAAAGATCATTAACAACCGTTCTTGATATGGTTAATTTCGATACTGGTACAAAGAAACCAAAAATTTGACTCTAACAGGAAAAAAATATTTCAGCCTTCATGCTAAATATCAAATTCTTGTTAATGTTGATCTCATGATGTAAAAATCTAAGCAAAGAATTCTGCCATCATTTTAGTGACACTGCTGCTAGTTTAATCACTAACCGTGTAGATAATAATGTTGATATCTTGTCTGAAAGAAAATTTTCTAAGTGTCTTTTAGGTATTACAGTTAATCTAATTGGTTAATTGAAGGCACAGTTAATTATATTTGATATCCCTGTTCCAGTTTATATTTTTTGAAGGATTGTCACCCATTTTGTTGATTTCCCAAAGTAGCCAAATTAATTATTTTTAGTTTCTAAAATCTATTTTTATGTATCCTTACCATTTTGATTTGAAAAAGTTCCTAGAATATTCTTTGGAGTTTTTAATTTGTTTTGAAGGCTTCTTTTCCTACCTTTGAGAAACTTTGGATTCTAGGGCAAGACTGACTTATGCTCACATTTCTTTTTCTGTGAATTGACAGGCTTAACTTTGATTACTCCACAGGCTTTTATATCTTTGCTTCTGCTTTTCTTTCCACCCTGTCCTTTTTCTATACACCACCCACATGGATCATTAAAAAATGTAAATCAGATCTTGTCATTTCCCTACCTAATATCTTTTAAAAGATTTCTCCCACGCACTTAGAAAAAAGTCTAAACTCTCCCCATGGCCTGTAAGCACTCAGAGAAGCTAGCCTATACTTGACTCTCTAACCTATTCCCTTTAGCTTTTATCACACTGACCAGTTATTTCACAGCACTTCATGGTTTGTATGTGTGGGTGTTTCTGGTTTGTTCACTCGTTAACTTGCTTCCACCACTACATTAGATGTGCCATGAAAACAGATAATGTATTTTCATTCATTGATCTAAAACCTAATACACAATAAAATGTGTTGGAAATACACACAATTATTGTTTTCAAAATCCTATGATTCCTGTTATTTTTAGGTAAATGCGCAGCTTTTCCTTTCCCTTGACAGTGTTTGTCAAGTCTCCACCACTATTTGGATAGTCATGATAGTCATAGAAATAATGGCTATCTGCTTATATTTTTTAATACTAATTTTTAAATTAAGTCTCTAATTACAATTCCATGTCATGTTGACTTATTAAGACTGAGCTATATTCAGTTTCTATTCTTTAGTTGATTTATTTCTAGAAGTGTTTTGAAATTTTAGCTTAATAGCATCACTATACTGCCTAGAAACAGTTAAGTTATTCATTTTTTGGGGCCAAGTCACCAGAGTACTGTTTGATCATTTATCTAGTAGCTTAAAGAACTGGGACATTTGCCCAAAGGAAGCCATTTATTCCCCTTTCAACACTTATGATTGAGCCTTTGGTTTATCTTAGATGAAGTGTGGTAGGAGAGTTTTGTCCTGTTCTCTCCCTAAAGATTTATGCTTAGGAAATTGATCATTTTCTTTTTTTTTTTTTTTTAAAAACACACACACACACACACACACACACACACGAACTGGGGTACAGGCCAAAGGTACGGGAGGGTGAGAGAATTCACCAGAGACAGAGCAGGGAGCAGAACAGACTGACTGAAAAAACTGCTGAGGGGAGCAGCGGGTAAGACAGGAAAGGTCTGCTGTGCCATGTGGCATCTCCCTAGCTGGCCTGAATTGAACCTGCACTGCAAAGGCTGTGGACACCTTTACAATGCTGCACTCAACCCACTGCGCCCCTGGGGAGGCCTGGAAATTGGTCATTTTCCCCCTTCATTGTTATATTAGACAGTTTTTATGTTAGACAGTAGGACTGAAGCTCTGAGAAGGTAGTTGGCTTTGTCTGCTTAAGTTCCAGTGGCTGAATTATCACTGGCAATACAGCATGTTTCACTTAAAGCTCTTCAAAGATCAGTAAATCTTGGCAGCACTCCACAGGAACCATAACATGTAATTCTTTTTTAAAGTTACCATATTATTAAATAAAGAAACTTGGGGTAAAGTATATAGCTTTAATGTCTTAATAACACTATTTAAAATGGCCCTCTTATCATTGCCATTACAGCAGCTTTGTGATGTGGTCCAAGGACCTTTCTAGGAAGAAACCCTGAATCCTGAGGGAGTACTTATAGTAAACAGGGAGAAGCTTTTGTAAAACGCATTTGTAGAGGTCCACTCTTCTCATCTGCATTCTCTTTCTTGAATGCTTTGAAGGATGTAGTAGTTTTGGTATACACAACCTGTTCTGAGGATTTAAGCTGACTTAGCCAAGTACAAGGTGGTTTGATATGGAAAGGGTATGGGTTTGGGGAGTTAGGAAGACCTGTAAAAATATAGTTATTCTGACATGTAATTGTGGTCTTGATTAAGTTGCTTAATCTTTCTGGGTCCCAGTTACTTATTCTATAATAGTATGGATAAAATACCTACCTTTTGTAGGGTTGTTGTATTAAATGAGACAATATATGTGAAATTTCTAGGTCTCATTAAATGCAGCTTTTCCTTCTTCCTTGGCATTAATATAGTTTAATTAAAGATGATATAAATCTACACTCTCAAATTCAGAGGTAGGCTTTCCCAGTCTATGGTATCTAGCAAGGATCATTTTAATTTTACCTACAGCTGTTTCTTCAAGAATGTACATTTGAAGAAGTGTCTAATAGTTGGCCAGTTCACCTATTTCTGATAAATAGATGAGGGTAACATTTGAGCATTTGGAAACAGTGTCTTAAAATAATGAGTTATTTTTAAATGATTATAATTAAAAAATTTAACAATGTTAATTAAAATTGTCTTGTTATTGACCAGTACTTTTTTTTTTTAAATATCTCTCCCTAGGGAAGGAAAAATATGCAAGATGGTGCAAGTGATGGTGAAATCCCAAAATTTGATGGTGCTGGATATGATAAGGATCTGGTGGAAGCCCTTGAGAGAGACATTGTATCCAGGAATCCTAGCATTCATTGGTTAGAATCTTTTAAGTTCTTGAATTACAGTAGAAGAGAAAACATGTTATAGGTTGACTTGGTATGAGTCTTCTCCTGTTATTATTCATTACTTGTTTTCATTCGTTGCTTATGACTTCATTCATCATATGAATGTATAGAATTGACAGGACTGCTCTTCTTTTGGAATATAACCAAGAAAGCATACATGTTAATTTGATGTTGATATAACTGACAAAGGTGGCTAATTGAATAAGATGTCCTAATTAATAACTGCACTATATCTTTACTGGTCACTTATGAAGTAAAAATTAGAATTTTTTTTTTTTTTCCCCTTCAGTCAGCATTTATTTATTTATTTATTATACAAGCACTGGGTACAGTCAGAAGCGCGGGAGGGTGAGAGAATTCACCAGAGCCAGAGCGGAGAACAGAGCAGGCAGAAGGACCGAAGTACACTGCTGAGGGGAGCAGTGGGCTGCAGGAGAGGTCTGCGCGCCATGCGGGACCCTCCTCTGGTGGCTGGGGAGCAGCTGGGGATCGAACCGGTGCTGCAGAGGCTGCGGGCAGCTTCGCAACCCAGCGCTCAACCGCTGCGCCACTGGGGAGGTCCCTAGAATTTTTTTTAAAGATTTATTTATTTATACAAGCACTGGGTATAGTCAGAATTTATAGTCAAAATTCTAAAAATTAGAATTTTTTTTTTTTTTCCCCTTCAGTCAGCATTTATTTATTTATTTATTATACAAGCACTGGGTACAGTCAGAAGCGCGGGAGGGTGAGAGAATTCACCAGAGCCAGAGCCGGGAGCAGAACAGGCAGACTGACGAAGTACACTGCTGAGGGGAGCAGCGGGCGCGCCAGGAGAGGTCTGCGCGCCATGTGGGACCCTTGCTGGCGGCCGGGGATCGAACCAGTGCTGCAGAGGCTGTGGGCAGCTTCTCAGCCCAGCGCTCAACTGCTGCGCCAACGGGGAGGGGAGGTCCCCCCCCAAAAAAAAAAATTAGAATGTTTTTAACATTAGTCTACTGTGATAAAGGAAAAGGAATACTTTTCATAAGTTAAAAAAGAAGAAATTAGTATTGACCATGATTGAGGTGTCCCTGAATAAATGTGAAACTTTGCTTACAAAGGGATGACATAGCAGATCTGGAAGAAGCTAAGAAGTTGTTAAGAGAAGCTGTTGTTCTTCCAATGTGGATGCCTGATTTTTTCAAAGGAATTAGAAGACCATGGAAGGTGAGAATATATTAAGATAGTATAGGTATAGTAGAGTTTCTTACTAGATAATGAAAGACAGGTTTCTATATATGTTTCTTTATGTGTTTATTAATATAATTTGTAAATGTATTGGGGGAGGTTTGTATATACTGTAAATAACTAGATTTAAATTTTTTGTTGAGGTGTATTGCCTCTGCATGGCAGGAGAGGGGCTTATAGTGCTGAAACTATAGTTTTTAATTAAAGTCATTTCTATTAAGGGTATTAAACTAGAGATTACTTTTAAGAGTTTTTTAGATATTTGTTTCAGTAAATAAAAAGTTAACAAGCACATTAAACAGTAATAGCACTATTTTGTAAAATAAGTGTTTGATCAAATTACTTTCTAAAAGTTGGTGTATTTCTCACTAATTATTTTGATCACTTCACCTAGATTGGTATAATTCTCAGACATTAGCAGAATGTTTATTTTTTTCTTTTTATAGCTTGCCCTCTGCCTTAGAGTTTGAAGTCTATCCAGGACTAGTTCCTTTCAAGTCCAGTGTTTTTTAACTTATTGAAAAACTTTTCCAATGATTGCTGTTTGAAACTTTTTTTTTTTTTTTTTTTGTCTTACCCATAGGCAGAATGCCTTTACTCTGGTGGAGTGAAATAAAAGCATGATCTTACTTTGCCCTTCTGAATTAGTTAGGAAAGTCTATTTCCTTTCTCAACATTTTCTCCTCTTTTGATGTGCCTGAGAGAAGAAATTTTATGTTTCCACAAATAGCTTGGAACACTGATGGCATTTTGATTCTTCTCACAGCTTAAAAACCTTTACAGACTGTTATAGGTTTGCCTAATTTGGAGAGCATATTCCTATAAATTCCCCCTTTATTATAATTTTAAAATAATATTTGAAAGACGAAATAAGATTTTAAAATAGGTATTTAGAGGAGTTTTAAAACAGCTGTAATGGTAGTGGGGGGGGCGGAGCAACATGGCGGCTAGGAGACGCTGCGAGTAAGATCTCCCATTAAAAAAAGTTAATAGGGAGGAAAAGCGGCAGGTCCCAGTGAGAACCGGGACACGGAAGATAAACGGGTGACGCCAGCGAACTGCCCGAAGAAGAAAGTGGCCATAAAAGAGGACTAGAAGGGAGGGAAGCGCAGAACCCTGCTCCCCTCCCCCGCCCACAGAGGCGGCACTCTCCGACCGCAGACGCAGCAAGCGGGACTGTGAGTGGAAAGGAACTATTGCAGCCACCACACCCCGTGAACGGGAGCTGAGGCAAACCCTGCAGGATCCGCCGCGGCGGTGAGAGAACGGCTCCGGGCGCCATTAGAGAAGAACAAAGACCCCAGGAGACGCGCACACAGCCCGGGCTGCCGGTAAGCGGGCGCGGAAACGCGGCGCGCTCGGCACGCTTGAAAAGCAAGTGCAGACCTGGATCGCGGCTGCCCAGGTCCCCGCGCCTGCGACCTAGGCTTGCGGGGAGACGACCTAGGCTTGCGGGGAGACGCGCGGAGGTCCTCACTGAGGTGAAGGTCCCTCCCTGAGTGAGCAGGAACCAGGCGCCCAGGCACGGGAGCAGTGCAAAAGGCGCCATTCCCGCGCCACTGAACTGGGCTACAGCCCGCGTCCTGGAACTGAGGGCTTTGAACTGAGACCCGGGGCACCAAAATTCGGGGCGTGGTTTCTCCACGACGGTGGGGCACAAGGCAGACACAGCACCCCAAAGCTGTTGAGGTGTACCCTATCATTCCCGCTCTGTTCTCTGTCCCACGGGGTGGGGGAGGCGAAAAACAGCCCCCCAAGGACAATAGGAGAGATCTCTGGCGCCACCTAGCGACCAGGAAAAAAAAAGTCACTAACACCCTATAAAACAGGACATTTCTTAAGACTGCTTGAAAAGGGCAGAAGGTTTCTGGAGGACCCAGTGGCCAGCCGGGAAGTTATTCCACGCCAGGCCCCTTCCGACCAGCAGTCTGAGCCCACAGAGGGAGCAGGCACCCACGTCCGGGGCAGACCGGGTGCGCAGAAGAGTGTGCCTGAAACCGGAGGCGCAGGGACTGCATCCCGCTTCGCCATTTGAGAACAGGGACATTTCTTCAGTAAAAACTGCCTAAAACCAGCAGAAAGCTCCCCCAGAAGACAGAGATGGCTCCTGGAAGAGCCAGAGGGGAGCGGAGAAGTTCACCCAAGATGTCAGTCAGTCCGAGCAACACAGTGTCCCAACGCATACGACAAATTAGAAAACAGACAGTAGGGAGTAGAAGAACCACACGCAACCTAAAAACTCCTCAGGAAAGAAGCACACCACAAAAAGAAAACCACTCCCCAGATTGCAACGACAGCAACTTGGAAGAACTTCTGAGCCTTCCAGAAAGAGAATTTAAAATTGCCATGATTAAAAAAAGTGATAGATCAGAAGAAGGAAATTGAGTCCCTAAAGAGGGAAGTAAGAGAAATGCAGGAGATCAAAGAATTAATGGAGGAACTAAAGAACTCTGGGAAAAGCAATGAAAGCAGAATAGATGAAATGGAAGAACGAATAAGTAATCTTGAAGACACAGAAATAAAAAGAACCAAAACAGAAAAGGAAAGAGAAGTACGAAGGAAAAGAATGAAGAAAGACTTCGGGAACTATCTGACTCCATGAGGAAAGGAAATATAAGAGTTATAGGAATTCCAGAAGGAGAGGAGAGAGATGTAGGAACAGAGAAAATATTCATGGATATAATTGAAGAGAACTTCCCAAATGAGAAGAAGGAGCTGAAAATTGATATACAAGAAGCAAGAAGAACACCAAACTTCCACGACGAAAGGAAAAACACAGCAAGACACATAATAGTAAAGCTCCCAAGAATCCAGGACAAGGAAAAAATAATGAAGCTGACAAGAGGGAAGAAACAGATAACATTCAAAGGAAAACCAATCAGGCTGACATCAGACTTCTCTGAAGAAACACTACAGGCAAGGAGAGAGTGGAGGGACATAGTCAACAGACTCCAAGAAAACAGATGCCAACCAAGAATACTCTATCCCGCAAAGCTCTCTTTCCTCCATGAAGAAAGAATATGGACCTTCCCAGACAAAGAGAAACTCCGGAATTTCATTGCGACTAAACCCCCACTCCAAAAAATACTACAAGGAATCCTAAAGCCAGAACCTCAGAGGGACGAATAACAACGAAAGAAGACCAAAAAAAAAAAAAAAGTTATTAAAAGAATAAATAAATAAAATCAAAGGAAAGACAAACATAATGGCAAATACAGATGCTAACATATCAATATTAACTCTAAATGTAAATGGACTAAACTCTTCAATAAAAAGACACAGAGTTGCAGCCTGGATTAAGAAACAAAACCCAACCTTTTGCTGTCTCCAGGAAACACATTTAGCTACAAAAGATAAAAATAGGCTCAAAGTCAAAGGATGGAAAACAATCCTACAAGCAAATGGGCCAAAAAAGAAAGCAGGAACAGCTATACTTATATCAGATAAAACAGACTTCAAACTCAAAAAAATAAAAAGAGACCCCAATGGTCACTACATTATGATTAAGGGGACAATACTTCAAGAAGAAATAACACTCATTAACATATACTCACCAAACGAAAGAGCACCAAAATATATCAGACAACTATTGTCCTCTCTGAAAACAGACATCAGAGAAAACACATATGTAGTGGGAGACTTCAACACACCACTATCAACAATGGATAGATCAACAAGACAAAAAATAAGTAAAGAAACTAAAGCTCTAAATAAGGACCTAGAGCATTTGGGCTTAACAGACATCTATAGAACACTAAACCCAAAAAAAACGGAGTACACATTTTTCTCAAGCGCACACGGATCATTCTCCAGGATCGATCACATACTGGGGCACAAGACAAACATCAACAGATACACCAAGATTGAAATCATACCAACCATCTTTTCTGACCACGAAGGCATCAAACTAGAAATAAATCATAAAAGAAGGCAAGGAACTATCCTACCTCATGGAGATTAAAAGCCACACTACTGGAAGACCACTGGACTAACGAGGAGATCAAAGAAGAAATTAAAAAATTCTTTGAATTGAATGACAAGGAGGACACCAATATCCTAAATGTATGGGATGCAGCAAAAGCAGTAATAAGAGGAAAATATATAGCAATAGAAGCTCACATCAAAAAACAAGAAAGAACTCAAAGAAACAACCTAATCTCGAAGCTCAAAGATCTAGAAAAAGAACAACAAAAAAACCCCAGAACCAGTAGAAGAAAAGAAATAATAAAAACCAAAGCAGAAATAAATGAAATTGAAACTAAAAAAACAATCCAAAAGATCAATGAAACCAAGAGCTGGTTCTTTGAAAAAATCAATAAAATAGACAAACCCCTAGCCAGGCTCACAAAGGAAAAAAGGGAGAAAGCACAAATACACAGAATCATAAATGAAAGAGGAGAAATCACAACGGACACAGCAGAAATCAAAAGAATAATCAGTAACTACTATGAACAGTTATATGGAAACAAGTTCAACAATCTAGAGGAGATGGACAAATTCCTACAACTCTACAATCACCCAAAGTTAGATAAAGAAGAAATAGAACACCTAAACAGACCAATTACAAGCAGCGAAATTGAAATGGTAATTAAAAACCTCCCCAAAAACAAAAGCCCAGGACCTGATGGATTTACAAATGAATTCTACCAAACATTCAGAGACGAATTAGTGCCTATCCTTCACAAACTCTTCCAAAAAATTGAGAAGGAAGGGACAATACCAAACACGTTCTATGAAGCCAATATTACACTAATACCAAAACCGAATAAGGACAACACAAAAAAGGAAAACTATAGGCCAATCTCCCTAATGAACACTGATGCAAAATCCTCAATAAAATTTTAGCTATCAGAATCCAACAATGTATCCATAAGATAATTCACCACGACCAAGTTGGATTCATTCCAGGGGCACAAGGATGGTTTAACATCCGAAAATCAATCAACGTTATCCAACACATCAACAAAAAGAAATATAAA